GTAAGTTAAGCTGCCGGAGGTACCTGGGGGCGGGGCACCTCACAGCTATACAAAAGATTCCACTCCCTGATAAACTCCAGCACCTCGACGCTTTTGGGCAACAACCACCATTAGAGAAGAATCTATTTACCGCCAATTATCTCCCCCTTATCTCCTACCATCAATCTTCTCGGTGTCGCTCGGAGCGTTTTCCCCACCATGTTTACGCATTCGTCCGTCCGTGCGTCGATTTGTTGGATGCTGAGGTTTGTGGTTGTCTTGCTGGGGTTATGGTGAGGAGGTGGAGTGTGTTGACTCTGTGGGGGTTTGTGGTCGTGTTGCTGGGGTCATGATGAGGAGGTGGACTGTGTTGACTCTGTGGGGGTTTGTGGTCGTGTTGCTGGGGTTATGGTGAGGAGGTGGGCTGAGTTGACGCTGTGGGGGTTTGTGGTCGTGTTGTTGGGGTTGTGGTGAGGAGGTGGGCTGTGTTGATCGCTGTGGGGGTTTGTGGTCGTGTTGCTGGGGTTATGGTGAGGAGGTGGACTGTGTTGACGCTGTGGGGTTTGTGGTTATGGTGAGGAGGTGGGCTGTGTTGATCGCTGTGGGGGTTTGTGGTCGTGTTGCTGGGGTTATGGTGGAGTAGAGTCGGGGTTCAGCAGCTGTGTCAAGGAGAACCTCATTCTCTCGCTGTTGCAGGTCGGATCAGTTGTGTTTTCTTACTTTCTCAGCTGCCCTTCCCTTCTCCATTCTCCCCCCTTCCTCTCTCCCTCCTCTTCCTCGCCTCCATCTCGTCCTCGCTTCCTGTCCTTTTCCCCTCCCCTTCTTCCTCGCCTCCCGTCCTCTTACCCTCCCCTTCTCCCTCGTCTCTTTCTTCCCCTCCCTCGCTTCCTCTTCTCTTCCCCCCTCTTCCTCCCTTCCCCTCCTCTTTCCCCTCTTCTTCGCTTACCCCCACTTTCTTCTCTCGTGCATGCTATCTAAACCTTCATCTGATTCTCACTCGCTGTCACACATAATCTGAAGAGTAGATCTTAATTCTTGACTCCTATCTTCTTCTTCTTCCCTACGTCTCTCTTCTTCTTCTTCTTCTTCTTCTTCTTCTTCTCTGCGTCTCTCTCTATCTCTTCCATATCACTTTTTTCTATCTGATGTTATCCTTCTCTCTCCCTCTCTATGTCGTCATTTCAGCTTCTTCTCTCCAGATATTTTACTTTCGTTTCCCTCTGTCCCTCCCTCCACCAGCCTCTATCCATTATCCCCTACAACTGTGTCCCTCTTATGCCAGGTATTATTATTATTGTTATTATTATTATTTCATTTTTATTAATTAACTAGCTAATTATTATGTCAGTCGAATAGATTTTCTCTGGGGAATGAGGTCACGAAAAATCATTTGGCCAGAAACTGACTTGACAACTAACATTACAAATCACATTGGATAGAGTGATATTAATTTTTCCTTAATAGGAAATGAGTAATATTCACCCTTCCTGTTCGTTCATTTGGTGTACGTAAGGAGACTGAGTTGGGTTAGGTTAGGTTATGTTAGGTTAAATTGGATTACGTTCGGTTAAAATTAGGTTAGGTTAGGATGAGTTAAAATGGGTAGCACCAGGAAGCTAAGTTAAGCTTTTACATATTAGGTTAGATTAACTTACGTTGCGTTACGGTAAACATAGTTCAGGTTAGGTTACGGTAGGTTAAGTTTGGTATTAGGTAGGTTAGGTTAGGCGTGGTTTGGTACGTCTCGTTTGTGTGTCTGTTGAGATGTGACGACCTTTCATTAATTCGTATGTTTTATAAGCTTAAATGTCACCTCAAACAGAAAATGTGAAGACCATGCATTTGTGTATGTGTGTGTGTGTGTGTGTGTGTGTGTGTGTGTGCGTGCGTGTGTGGGTGTGTGTGTGTGCGTGTGTGTGTGTGTGTGTGTCCTACAGAATATCCGGATATCTTGCAGGCGCGGTTAACGTGAACAAATATACGAGTAAATAACTATTGATGAAACTTGGTGTGTTGACATGAACCAACAAGCTCTGAGAAGACGTCAATGATCAGGAATTTTGTGATCAAATTATTCGTTCTACTTAGGGTGTTCCGGAGTGTACAATATCTCGGTGTATGGTATATGTGTATGTATGGGTTTATTTATTGTGTGTATACCTGTATGTGTGTATATCCCATGTATGTGTGTATACGTTCTTGGTGTGACGAGAGTTGAGTGTTATGGTAGGAGAGTTAGGTCACGGCCCGGTGCTTGATTGGTAGTGACACAGATAACCTCCACCCAGTTTATGCTGCTCCACCCTCTCTCTCTCTCTCTTTCTCTTCGTGGTGATCCAGTCGTTCAATCTATCTCTCTATTTATCTATCTATCTATCTATCTATCTATCTATCTATCTCTCTGTTTGTTTATCTATCTATTTATCCTCTCAACAGTACCAGGTCGCCTGTGTCATGGAGGATGGCGGCTGTGTTATGAAGATGGCGGCTGTGTTATGGAAGATGGCGGCTGTGTTATGAAGGATGGCGGCTGTGTTTGAAGGATGGCGGCTGTGTTTTTGGAAGGGATGGCGGCTGTGTTATGAAGGATGGCGGCTAAAGGATGGCGGCTGTTATGAAGGATGGCGGCTGTGTTATGCAGCTGTGTTATGGAAGATGGCGGCTGTGTTATGGAAGATGGCGGCTGTGTTATGAAGGATGGCGTGTTATGGATGGCGGCTGTGTTATGGGATGATGGATGATGGCAGCTGTGTTATGGGATGGCGGCTGTGTTATGGAAGATGGCGAAAGGATGGCGGCTGTGTTATGGAAGATGGCGGCATGGAGGATGGCGGCTGTGTTATGGAAGATGGCGGCTGTGTCATGGAGGATGGCGGCTGTGTTAAAAGATGATGGGATGGCGGCTGTGTTATGGAAGATAGCGGCTGTGTTATGGCGGCTGTGTTATGAAGGATGGCGGCTGTGTTATGAAGGATGGCGGCTGTGTTATGAAGGATGGCGGCTGTGTTATGAAGGATGGCGCCGGCTGTGTTATGAAGGATGGCGGCTGTGTTATGAAGGATGATGAAGGATGGCGGCTGTGTTATGTGGCGGCTGTGTTATGGAAGATGGCGGCTGTGTTATGAAGGATGGGGCTGTGTTATGAAGGATGGCGGCTGTGTTATGGAAGATGGCGGCTGTGTTATGAAGGATGGCGGCTGTGTTAAAGATGGCGGCTGTGTTATGAAGGATGGCGGCTGTGTTATGGATGATGGCAGCTGTGTTATGAAGGATGGCGGCTGTGTTATGGAAGATGGTGACTGTGTTATGAAGGCTGGCGGCTGTGTTATGAAGGATGGCGGCTGTGTTATGGAGGATGGCGGCTGTGCGGCTGTGTTATGAATGGCGGCTGTGTTATGAAGGATGGCGGCTGTGTTATGGATGATGGCATGTGAAGGATGGCGGCTGTGTTATGGAAGATGGCGGCTGTGTTATGAAAGATGGCGGCTGTGGAAGATGGCGGCTGTGTTATGGAAGATGGCGGCTGTTATGGAGGATGGCGGCTGTGTTATGGAAGATGGCGGCTGTGTTATGAAGGATGGCGGCTGTGTTATGAAGGATGACGGATGTGCGGAAGATGGCGGCTGTGTTATGAAGGATGGCGGCTGTGTTATGAAGGATGGCGGCTGTGTTATGAAGGCTGGCGGCTGATGGAAGATGGCGGCTGTGTTATGAAGGATGGCGGCTGATGAAGATGAAGATGGCGGCTGTGTCATGGAGGATGGCGGCTGTGTTATGGATGATGGCGGCTGTGTCATGGAGGATGGCGGCTGTGTTATGAAGTGTTATGGATGGCGGCTGTGTTATGGAAGATGGCGGCTGTGTCATGGAGGATGGCGGCTGTGTTATGGATGATGGTGGGTGCGTTATGAAGGATGGCGGATGTGTTATGGAAGATGGCGGCTGTGTTATGAAGGATGGCGGCTGTGTTATGAAGGATGGCGGCTTTGTTATGGAAGATGGAGGATTTTTTATGGCAAGCAATAAAACCAATTAATTGAATGGGAAGTCCTTTTGAAAGTATTGAGTTTTACTGTAGTGTGTGAGCCGATGAGATGTGATGGTGGTAGTGGTGGTTGTTGTGGTCGTGGTGGTAGTAGTTGTGGTGGTAGTGGTTGTGGTGGTAGTGGTTGTGGTGGTAGTGGTTGTGGTCGTGATATCAACTAGTGAGAGACAGGGATGGTAGTGTTATGGTAGTAGGGAAGGATGGGGTGTTAATGATGGTAGAGCTGGTGGTTGTTGTGGTTGTGGTTGTAGTGTAGGGGGCAGTGTGCGTAAAGACAGTTGTTATAGCTATGAGAAATGGACAGGGTGATGGTAGTGGTAATGCTGGTGGTAGTTATTGTGGTGCGTGTGTGTGTGTGGTTAGCGAGGAAAGATCCAGAGATGGTAGTAATGGTTTGCTGTGGTTGTGAGGGCAGGCAGATAGTGGTAAAGAAGGATAAACGGAAGTAAATGGCTTGTAATGATCAGAGTGGTAGTGGTGAGCAATGTTTGTTGAGATGACAATGTGTGGGGTTGCATGAAGGTAGAGATGATTGATGGGGGTTAGTTGGAGGAAGAGTAGCAATGGTTGATCGTTGTAGGGATGGTGGTTGAAAGGTGGTTAATGGTCTTGTAGGGTGGTGGTGGTGCTAGATGGTTGTACTGGGACTGGTAGCGGGTCACACACACACACACACACACACACACACACACACACATCTTACAAAATTTTCCCGACAGCTACGAATATTTTGTGAATGGAAAAGACATAAATAATTTGGCTAGAGTTCGTCTTGTTAATATTGTGAATGAGTGTGAATTAAACCAATATGACTCTTCGTCTACAGTTTAGTCATCTGGCCACAGAGGCTCTGGAAGAGAGAATTACCCTTTTGTAAATATTTTTAACATGTGTATAAATTGACAAAAAAGTATATGAAAAAAGTTCGTATTGTTGCATGCTGTGTGTTTAACGATGTTTTCTTATTAATTTACAGAATAACCCGGAAAATTGCCAAGTACCCCCTTGAACGCTGCGCCCACAAAGAAAACCATCCTGAAACTGTGTATACTGAGTCAACAACTGAATCATTCTCCCTCCTGCTGCAGCTGCATCGGCCAACTACAGCAGTCTTTCACTGAGTTCAGATCGTAGACGGATAGGACGAACGCTGCAACAGTATAAACAGAAAGAGTAGACTCTGCGGGTAGAAGACAAAAACAGCCAAGTCGTTCAGAGACAGAAGCAAACAGTGGACCAACGCCAGGGAAGCATAATCAAGAAAACAGACTTTACTACGGGTAGACGGTTTTCCCTTCCACGTTTGAGTGAAGAAACGGCAGAAAAGGACGACCGCCACAGCATAACGAGCCGGAAAGCAGACTCTACAGGCAGACTGCTTCCTATAAGACAGCTTTCTCAACCGCCTAAGATCGTGAGCTGCGAGGAGAGGACGCAGGCAGCGATGAGGTCGTCGGTCGCTGTGCCTCGCAGGAAGAGACCTCAGGTAACATATGATTGAAACTTTGTTATTGTTTTAAAAATTGGTTTCAAACTTCAAAATATTGTTGGAAGTCTGTTGTCATTTTAAAATTTGACCTCAAAACATAATGGAGCTCTTTGTCGTTTTAGAAATTCGCTTAAGACTTTGTTAAAGCTCTTTAATTTGTTTGGGAAATGAAATAAAACATAACTAGAACTTTGAAGAGTGAAGTCATAAATTCCACTTTAATACAATACAGCACAATACAATACGTCTTGATATCGTAAGACAATATTGGAACCCTTGATATCGTATCATAAAGCAATACTGTAACTCTTGATACCGTAAAAAAAATCAAGCTTTTGATATCATAAAACAACATTGGAACTATTAATTTTTTTTAAAGTTGTATTATCTGAACACTTACCTTATGAAACCATTTTAAGCTACCTTTCTTTACACAAATATTAATTTACATCCCAAGAAATTAAATTTTTCCTCAGTGACTAGTTTTGTCGGCTGTTTAGATGACCTTAATATATGTACTTGTTTAAAAGGGGTAATTAAGCTGAACAATGATAGGCCTAAAAAGAAGAGTAATTAAAAAATAATAGGCATAAACACCACGAGTCTGACGAATAGGTTTTAGTGAAGATCTTAGTCTAGGAAATTTAAGTGCCGTTAAATTTGGGGAAAATTATATAGGCGCAGGCCACCCACATTACGACCCCATGGTTACACACACACGCACACACTTGATAGAAATGTTCACTTATATATATATATTTAGAGAGAAAGAGAGAGAGAAAGAGAGAGAGAGAGAGAGAGAGAGAGAGAGGTCAGTGGAGACGGACAGACAGATAGACAGATGGTGTGACAGAATAAAAAAACGCAACTATAGCCCAAATTTTTGACCGGGTGAAAATTCAGGAGGTGGGGGGCCATTACGGACAAACGACGGTAATTACGGTGCTCCCTGACGACTGTCTCGCTCTAATTACTGTAATTGTCAGTTTATTTTAGGGGAGATGGACACCCACACCACTGAACCCCGGATATTGTCAGGGAGAACAAGCTCCTCTTGTCAATTTATAAGGTCAAGGGAGCCCTGCATCTCTCTCTCTCTCTCTCTCTCTCTCTCTCTCTCTCTCTCTCTCTCGCACTCACACACACACAGTAATGCTCACTAGTAAACACACACACAACAAAACTTAAAACGCAAACAACAACAAAGACTTAACACACACTCACTCAACAACAAAGACTTAACACAAACACACTCAACAAAAAAGACTTAACACACACTCACTCAACAACAAAGGCTTAACACACACTCACTCAACAACAAAGACTTAACACACACTCATTCAACAAAAAAGACTTAACACACACTCACTCAACAACAAAGACTTAACACACACTCACTCAACAAAAAAGACTAAACACACACTCACTCAACAACAAAGACTTAACACACACTCATTCAACAACACTTAACACACACTCACTCAACAACAAAGACTTAACACACACTCACTCAACAACAAAGACTTAACACACACTCACTCAACAACAAAGACTTAACACACACTCATTCAACAAAAAAGACTTAACACACACTCACTCAACAACAAAGACTTAACACACACTCACTCAACAACAAAGACTTAACACACTCACTCTCAACAAAGACTTAACACACACTCACACTCAACAAACAAAGACTTAACACACACTCACTCAACAACAAAGACTTAACACACACTCACTCAACAACAAAGACTTAACACACACTCATTCAACAACAAAGACTTAACACACACTCACTCAACAACAAAGACTTAACACACACTCACTCAACAACAAAGACTTAACACACACTCACTCAACAACAAAGACTTAACACACACTCCCTCAACAACAAAGACTTAACACACACTCACTCAACAACAAAGACTTAACACACACTCACTCAACAAAAAAGACTTAACACACACTCACTCAACAACAAAGACTTAACACACACTCACTCAACAACAAAGACTTAACACACACTCACTCAACAACAAAGACTTAACACACACTCACTCAACAACAAAGACTTAACACACACTCACTCAACAACAAAGACTTAACACACACACACTCAACAAAAAAGACTTAACACACACTCATTCAACAAAAAAGACTTAACACACACTCACTCAACAACAAGGACTTAACACACACTCACTCAACAACAAAGACTTAACACACACTCACTCAACAACAAAGACTTAACACACACTCACTCAACAAAAAAGACTTAACACACACTCACTCAACAACAAAGACTTAACACACACTCACTCAACAACAAAGACTTAACACACACTCACTCAACAACAAAGACTTAACACACACTCAATCACCCAACAAAGACTTAACACACACTCACTCAACAACAAAGACTTAACACACACTCACTCAGCAACAAAAACTTAACACACACTCACTCAACAACAAAGACTTAACACACACTCACTCAACAACAAAGACTTAACACACACTCAATCACCCAACAAAAACTTAACACACACACTCACTCAACAACAAAGACTTAACACACACTCACTCAACAACAAAGTCTTAACACACACTCACTCAACAACAAAGTCTCAACACACACACACACACTCAAATAACCAAACCCGACACGCGCGGTGGTTTGCTGGAAAGCTAAGAACCGCAGCCTGGGGTAATAACAACGCCAGAGCTTGTAATTATTGCACGAAATTACGCCAGGTTGTTATTAGGAAGGCAACACGCAGCCACGCTCCAAAGGGTCACATAAACACGGCCATTGTCAACCCCACAGTCAGGGAGGTCCATAGCCGGACAGTTACTCCGGTTTTCTTACGCTACTTCTCTATCTCCAGTACCTAGATGTAAACAAACGAACAAACAGATCAAAACGGTAAACAGTCAACCGTCACCATCGGAGACAAAATGGGGCATAACACCTAAGGATATGGAGTAAAATCGCTGTTTCTGGGGGTCGTTCCATCTCTTGTCGGGAAACACCCACAAAGTTTCATCTATATGTATGTATACTCGTATATATATTCAAGCTATCGCATTCACAAGAGGCCCAGGGGGACACAAGGATGGGCAGGGTACTATTTCCGTTGCCTCCTCGCCGGAGGTAACGGGGAACAACAATCAATCATCCACAAGTGACTAAATCAAACTGGGAGGATCAAGTCTAACTGACTGTAACGTAACAGGAGACGAAAATAAACTAACCGAAGTGTGTGCGTTTTTGTGAACGGGTTGGATGGTAATTAGAATGTTGTTACTGGTGAAGATATCAAGACGATTTGAGGGTATTTGTTTTGGAGGTGTGGTGTCGTAGACGAAGACCCGGTTCTGAGTGTTTGTTTCTCGTACCTCCCACCGCCAGAAGGTAATGCTGTTGGGAGGGTTGTGACGTGAGGTGGGACACAAATCTACTTTAATTTCCTTTAATAATGAATTCTTGAGTTGAAGAAAAATGTACCTGTACCTAACCTAACCTAGCCAAATGTAAGATTAAGATAGATTTTGTTGATTTGTTAACGTTGTTATTATTTTACCGGGTTTATTTTCAACGAGTTTATTTTTGCTGTTTTCTCTCTGTCCTTTTAAGGTGTGATTGAATTAGGTCTGGTTATGTATAGTTGAGTTAGTTAAGGTTAAGCTTGATTACAGTTTATTTGAGTTAAGTTTAATGAGGATTAAGTTAGGATTGGTTAATTTACATTAATGAGTGAATAAGATTGGACTAAATTTAATTTTGATTAAGTTAGGTTACCTTAAGTTAGTTAAGAATTAACTTAGATTAGTATAGATTAAATTCAGTTGGGGGGGTTGAATCAGATTAAGCTGTTGTAAGATAGTTAAGGTTTGGCAGCCAGGCTACAATTTTTTTTCAACTACTGAATTTCTGGTTAAAGGAAATGCATCGCTGGTTGGTCTTCACCAGGGGGGCGAGTTTACCACCGCAACCCAACACTCGGGTCACGTGAGAACATTAGTCACTCATTAGTCAAACTGAAGATGCAGCTGCCGCAGGTGCCCCCCCCCCTCCCCCCAAGCTATGAGTTTAGGTTCTTGGTAATTTTTAGTCACCATAAAAGAGCGTCGGGGTTTGCCGTGAGTGCCTTTATAAGTCTTGATTTTTTTTTAAGTACTCTTCGTTAAGTTTTAGTTTGTGTGTTTTCAGCAGGTACTGTTCTTATGTCCTTACTATGGAGTGGTCGGTGTTTTTGTTATCGTCATCGTCGTTGTCGTCTTTGTCAGTGTCATCGTCGCTGCCTTTGCCATTGTCGTTGTTGTCTTTGTCATCATCATCATCGTCGTTTCCCTTGTCATCATCGCTGTCATCTTTGTCATCATCATTATCATCGTCATTGTCCTTGTCATCGTCGCTGTCGTCTTTGTCGTAGTCATCGTTGTCGTTGTTTAGTTAACTTCTCGCGTTCAGTTCAGTAACCATAAACAAGTGATTGCTTGCAGCGTCTCGTGTCCCTGAAAGGTAAGGGTTTTGACCCTCTGTTATTTTCAGTTAGGTGAGCGCTCATTCCCTACAGCAACTTGTTATGGGTCCTCTACAGTCCGTAGTGCTTTGCTAACAGCCCCGTGTTTCCTTAGGACTTCCTAATGGACCTTTTACAACCCTCAGCACTGTACTTGAGCTCCTATTGTCCCTCCACGAATTTCTAATGAGTTCTTTGTTGTGTTTAGTACTGTGTTTAGCGGCAACTGTTTCTTTGGCCAGGAAGTTACTTGCATAAACTGTTCCGTATTAATGGTAATGATGCGGTGCCGGTTTTGAGAGCTATATAATTCTCTTGAAAAGCCTCTGGTTAAACAATTTTATTTATATTATTTTTGAAGAGTAATTGCATGAATTGTACAGTATAGTGAGGGTACAGTAGTCATCCCTTCCCGCTCCTATCGTTAAACAAAAATATTCTCTGTTGATAAAAGTTCACTCAAACGTC